ATTCTTTGTTTTTCCCTGGATGAAACTACCCCAAAATGCTGATTTGTATGTGATTGCAACTCCTCCGGTTGACGTTCGTTTGAGTACTGCTGCTGCACCTTCCCATACTTCCTGTGCTTCCAGGCATTCCCATAAGATGTGTCGCTATGTTTCTGTGGCTCCATAGGTCTTGCAGGCTGTGTTTGGGAGATGTATGGCTGCCAGAGAGGGAAGACGTTCTTGTTGGGCCAGCCACATGAAATAGCGGTTCTTAGCTGACCAGCGCCCCTTCCAGATCATGTTGATGCAGCGTGAGTGGTTCCTGGAGGGGATCTGTTGGGCCTTTGCTTTCCGGATGAGGGAGGATCGAGTCGGCACTCTGATCAGTTTTAGGCCCAGCTTGGTTTCGTACTGGAAGGAGCCCTTGCACATGGTTCCTCTCCAACGCCACTCTACAGGATCCCACTTGAGTTCATCCAGGGTTTGTTGGCGGAACCAGTAGAGGCGGGCATATTGTTGTTCTAGGATCAATGGATCAACGTTGGCAGTTTTTTTCTCCATTTGAATCACTCTGATCGGTTTAGCTCTGCTCATATCGAGGAGGTCCTCGTACTCAGGGGAGACGATGGGGTACAGGCATCCGGCCTGTCCTACCTTAAAGATTAGTCTCGATGCCATGTTGGGGAGGGTGCATACAATCAACTCGTCCACCTTCCACCATCGATGGTGTTGGTCTTCTTGTAGGTTTAGAGTTTGGCTGCTAAAAAGGCTGTCTGGAATTTACGCATCCTGTATTTTGAGATGGTTAATCTGTAGAAGGCACTGATTCGGTCACAGTTGTTAGCCGTCTGGTTGGGCTGGATCATGCTGTCTACCTCTGCAAAGGTTCTTATCCCTGCTCTGTGCAGGTCTCTGCATGTCTGGTCCAGGCCGCGATCTTCTGAGGCTCCGAGCATTTTACCATTGACAGTGAGGAGTTTGCTCAAGAAGATTGGTTGCCGGTCCAGTTGTTCTTTGGTGTGAGGTGGTCTATGTTCCAACTTGTATTTGAATTGCCTCCAGAGCTTGAACAGCTTTCCTGAGAGCGTGTGAGCCTTTGTCATTTTGAGTTTTGTGTCCTAAAAAAGCCATTGTTCATCTGTCACCCAATTTTGTCTAGTGTGCTCATTCCTATCCGGGAGGACTTTCAAAAGTTGTGCTCGCAGCAATGTTCTCCATGGCTGGTTGCCAGGCATGAGCATCCTCGTGAAAATCTTGAAGAGGAGAGCCTTGCATTATTCTTTGATGTCAATGATATTGAGGCCCCCTTCATGCTTCGGAAGTGTTATTGACCACCAGTTGACCTTTGCTCCACCACATGAGACGCAGGAGGAGCCTTTCCAGACATAGGTTCGAATGAGTTAGTTCATTTCCTGGATTGTTCGCCTGTCTATATTCCAGCATGCTGCCGGGAACCAGATCGCTCCAAGTAGGATGCTGTTTGCCACCATGTAGCGTGTTGAGAATGATAGTTTTCTGCTCGCCCAGAACTTGAGTTGATCCCTTAGTTTTGTAACTGCTTTTTGGTTCTGAGGTTCTAGATCATACTAGCATCCGACTTGGAATCCAAGGTAGCGGGTGGTCTCCTCTGTGTTCAGCCATTTGAAACCCAGATCCGTGCCCCATGTTGGAGGTCTGCCGGGGGGGAGCCATAGTCCTACCGATTTATGCTAGTTTATTTTTGATCCGATGGCCTCATTAAAGAACTCCAGGTCCCTTTTGACGTTTGAGAGGTTCTCCGGTGATCCCTCCACGATCAGGCTTGTGTTGTCTGCAAAGGCGGAGGATAGGAGGTCCTCCTTTGAGGCTCTATCATACCCTTGGTGTTAGTCTTATTTAGGTCCCAAATGCTATTTATGGAAAGTGTCTAAATTCGCTCATTTGGAATGTAAAGATTGGCCTGAACACAATAGTGTTCATCCTGTGTCCAAATTCGTAATCTAGGGACATTTTATATTTAGTAAGTTTTGAGCTTGTCCCAGATATTGACTCCTGGTACTAAGGGAGGCTTGGGGTGAAAGCCCAAAGCATGTGTTCCTCAAAGGGGGTTTTAAATGTATAGTAGGGATAGTGGTTGAAATGCATATCCGACCATCTAAAACATTAGTTTGGCTCCCGCTGGGTTGTGTTGCTCTTTGTTCTGCGTCCAGGTTGGGTCTAAGCCCAAGCTCCACATTGGTGAGGTACCCTCCTCCTCGTGTTAGGCCACCAGTATGCCAAAATTGTGCCAGACTCCATTTGACACCATTTTGCGTGCAGGTGCTAGATACGAGGAGCTGGTGCTCATGGAATTGTATTGGACCCTTGTTTCATAGTGTAACCGGCTTGGATTTCGGCTCCAAATTCATGTGTGGTACACCCAATTCCCATTTAAACAAAAAGTATCAAGCTTTATACCTATTGAAGGTAAATGGATCTAAAGCTCAAACTTCATTATTTTTAGTTTATCTTTATATCTATGCTTTTATACATGATAGTATTCAAATAAAAAACATGGCATATAAAGGTGTCAATGGGATAAAAAGTCTTGTTGACAAACTTAATGAACTAATATTCAATAAGCACATGAGGAGATAATTAATTTAATATACTTCTTTACAAAACTACATTTGAATATTAAATTCTATCATCTAAGAAGGAATTCCCACTATGCTACCCTCTCACCATTGCATTGATTGTAAGCAGTTTTTGTTATATTGGGATGCAATTTAACTTTGGAAATACATATATAATAGAGGGAGTCCCAATATCAAGGGATGAATTGATCATTTATGGGCAAATGGAATGTGCTTGAGAAATATTGTGCATAATAGAGAAAGGAAGTTGCTGTGAGTTAGGAGGCTAAGTATTGTTATAAAATCAAAAAGCTTGTGCAGTTATGGGGTGTAAACTATTTAATCTATAATTCTCTCTTTGTAATACTTAGGTAGCACTTCTCTACAAACAAACCATCTAAAGAAGTTCTTGATCATGATCTCATGCATTTTCATTTTCATTTTGACTCATGCTAAACAAATTATTATCTATTAGTGTTCTAAAGTTCCTACTCTAGGCTATCAACCATCCTCTTACACTAGTTTGTTCATAATAACAATTTTATACATCATAAAGCCTTTAATGTAGATAGAGTTAGGTAAAAAACAAGAGTTGCACAATTAATTATAGTGTCAAATGGTGATGCATTGACTAGACAAGGAAGATATAAAAGAAGTTGATACACCTATCCAAATCACTCTATAAAGTGTTATTATTTCTAATTCAAGCTCACACAACTCATTGAAGGTCATCCATGTTTCATAATGGAGGTCCACCATTTGTAAAGGATCTTAAAGATCCCAACTTTATGGGCTAGTATGCTTGCAAAACCAAAGTGAGCTCAATAAAAGGAAGTTTTGGAGTACCTAAAGCAAATATAAATATCCAATAACATCTAATGGCTTGTTGAATTTGACCCATACTTGGAACAACCATAGAATCTAGTATGGAAACAACTTACTTTGTACTGGATATAGGATGATCACACTTCATCTTATGTAGTGCTACACTCTTAAACAATTTTTTTGGGCATAACTACTATAAATGGCTTCAAAATTGAATCAACAAGATGTTATATTATATTTTGTATAACTCTTACAATACAAATTGTGACACACACCATATGCATCACAAAGTTTGAGCAGTGACCAACTTTTAAATTGCTCTATAGAGTCCTTAATACCAAAAAAAAAAAAACCCAAGCAAGAGATGAAGATAAGTTTTTAACGTCATATGGATTCTCTGCATACACCTGCTAATGCTAGGTGGAAAAGGAGGGATTACCTTGATAAAGTATCAAATAGTGCATAACTAACTGCTCCTAGAGCTTGTCATGTTGTGCCGCCTTAATTAAATTTGTCTTAAATTATAAAGTTGATTTGTTGCATTGACTTCTCATAAGCCAGCACCAATATCCATGCACTAGTACCAAATATAATTATAATTAACAATCCCTTATCTAAAGTATATGTATTCTAAAGACAGTTGCAAGTACTAAGATGATGTGGATCAATCAGCACTTAAAAATAATCTCAACATGATCTTGAATGTGAATTTTTTTAGACTCTAACCAATTTGCATTTGAGAGTGAGAAGATGGAGGAGGTACTAACCAACAGTAACTGGGCAATAAGAACATCCTAAAGATTGCATATTAAAGAATATACAGTTTATATGAGTTTTTGTTAATGCTTTTTAATTTGAATAATGCTTCAGTTTATGATGAATTAAGTTGTTTATGATATGCTATGTGTTTCAATCCATTGAGCACCATAGATACTACAATGATTGTTCTACATTTTCATTATGTCCTCAACCCAATATCTACTATCTAGCGAGGAGTCTCACCATTCTATGGCAACCCTCTATTATTAGATTTTGGCTTATGATTGATAGCTATTCTCAAAAGTAAAAGTATGAGTGTTTACCCAGCTTGAGCAGTCAATTTAATTTCTCTGTCAGAAAGTGGAACATTCACAAGCAATTTCAAGAATGAAGTTCCACCGGCCTACGATCATTCAAGAAAAATTTAAGAAACTCAAACTTGTACCATCGCATCAAGGAAGCAAATGAAGATGAAGAGAATCACCGGTGACACTGCCACTCGCAAATTCGAAGAAGTAAAGGAAGGAGCTTCGAGCTGGTAGAGCGATTTAGTGCCGAGAAACTCCAAGCCCCAGAGGTCATCCACATCGACTCAGAGGTGGAGCGTGCATTGCAAGTTCTCGACAGGATCATCGAGCTCGTGGAGAACTTAAAAAGTCACAGACAGCGTCCTCGGATCCATTTCCCTCAGCGGTCTCGGCTGCTTCAGCATCCACGAGCGAAGTAGGAAGCGGCGAGGTAGAAAAATCGACACTGCCCAAGAGCGCCAGAAAAACTCTCTCCAGTGACAAGACAATTTAAGAGGAAAATGTTTAAACTAGGGTTCTCTGGGTGGGCTTTGGCGGGAAGGCGATGGGGAAGGCGGCCGGGAGCTTCGGTAAGATCTCTCTCGATGACGGTAGAATGCGGGTGTTTTACTGTGGATTATGGCGCAGGCGATGATTTGGGGGACGATTTCCTCACGTCTTGGAAGCCTGGGAAGCTCGGCGCGGCGCCGGGGCTGGATCTTGACGACTCGCCGCCTCGGCCCATGGCCAAGACCGGGAAGACGTTTGATCTCTCCAAATTGTGAGTGGATGGATTCTGATCGTTTCTTGCTTGCGGACGTGATTGATCGATGCGATGAATCTTGTTGCAGCGATATGGATTTGGACCTTGATGGAGGTTTTAACAAGCTAGCCTCGTTTAATATCGATCTCGATCTCCCTGGCATTGACGCTACGATGGAGAAGAACGCTGACACTGGATCCAAAACTAAAGAAGTGAGTTCTCGGTTTAAAGGCCAAGCTCTAAGTTGAGGATACAGTCCATGGAGGTTTCTCCACTATGTCGTCCCCCTGCTCGAGAAAAGCTGCGCGTTGATCTCTCCGACAAGAACCTTGACACTGGATCCAAAGTGAGTTTTTCTCTCTTTTTTTTGTTTAGAGGCTCAAGTTCTTTAGGATACAGTCGATGGATATTTCTCCAGTATCTCGTCCCCCTGCTCGAGACACTGATCTCTCCGACAACAACGCTGAGACTGGATCCAAAACTAAAGAAGTGAGTTCTGGTTTAGAGGCAAGCTCTAAGTTCTTGAGGATACAGTCGATGGAGATTTCTCCAGTATCTCGCCCCCCTGCTCGAGACAAGCTGCGCGTTGATCTCTCCGACCTGGATTCGATGAATGAGAAGAACGCTGACACTGGATCCAAAACCAAAGAAGTGAGTTCTCTCTCCTTTTTTTTGGATTAGAGGCCAAGCTTTAAGTTCTTGAGGATATAGTCGATGGAGATTTCTCCGGTATCTCGTTCCCCTGCTCGAGACAAGCTGCGTATCTCCGGCCTGGATTCTGACAAGAACCCTGACACAGGATCCAAAACTAAAGACGTGAGTTCTTTTTTTGTTTTTGCTTAAAAGACCAAGCTCTAAGTTCTTGAGGTTACAGTCGATGGCTGTTGTTTCTCCAGCATCTCGCCCGCCTGCTCGACACAAGCTACGTGTTGATATTTCCGGTCTGGATTCTAGGAATGACAAGAACGCTGACACTGGATCCAAAACTAAAGAAGTGAGTTCTCCTGTTTATTTTGCTTTAGAGGCCAGGCTCTAACTTCTTGAAGGATATAGTCGATGGAGAACGGACCAGTTGTTTCTCCAGTATCTCGTCTCCCTGCTAGAGGCAAGCTACGTGCTGATCTGTCCGGCCTAGGTTCTAGGTATGACAAGAACGCTGACACTAGATCCAAAACTAAAGAAGTGAGTTCTATGTTTTTTGCTTGAGAGGCCAAGCTCTAAGTTCTTGAGGATACAGTCTTCTCCAGTATCTCGTACCCCTGCTCGAGACAAGCTGCGTGTTGATCTCTCCGGTCTGGATTCTAGGAATGACAAGAACGCTGACACCGGATCCAAAACTAAAGATGTGAGTTGTCTTTTTTTTTTGGCTTGAGGCCAAACTCTATGTTCTTGAGGATACAGTCTTCTCCAGTATCTCGAACCGCTGCTCGAGACAGGCTATGTATTGACCTCTCCGGCCTGGATTCTAGGAATGACAATAACACTGACGCTGGATCCACAAGTAAAGATGTGAGTATGTTTGTTTTGAAGGAGAAAAGAACGATGTTAATCTCTTTCCATCCTAGGTTCCAGCAGATAAGCTGGACTCCTTTGATGTGGACCACTCTGATGCTGCAAAGGAGAAGAGCAACGGATCCAAAGGTAAAGATGTGGTACGATCGGTGGACGAGTATTCTTCATCACCTCCTCCTGCTCGAGAGAACAATCCTGCCATCGATGCCATCAATGTAAGTAGTTCCTGCCAAGAAGTCTACTTATCTTGGAGAGTTTCCAGGTGCAAGAGATGGAGTGGCGACCGGAGCCTGCTCCCCCGCTGGCCATCGATGTAAGTCGTTCCTACAAAGAAGTCTACTTACCTTGGAGAGTTTTCCAGGCGCAAGAGATGGAGTGGCGACCGGAGCCTGCTCCTCCACTGCTGGAGAAGCCTGAAAACGAGGTGGTCGACAAAGTGGACTGCTACACGGAAGTTCTGGAGGAGGTGAAGGGCTTGTTTCACCTCCTAACGTTAACTCCTTTCATGTCCTTCGCATTCTAGATGTGGAAGATGCTCAAGCAGAAGAAGGAGGAAGCCACAGATCTTCTGGTGAGGGCGATCGTTGCAAACAACAAGCTGCTGTTGCTCAACAGTCCTGTGCACGACGAGAAAATATCCTTGCATTTCTCAGTTTCAAAGAGCTTGCTTCCTTTCCATACTACATTTCTCTTCACATCCAGCTTCTCAGGCGCTCTGTGAATGAATTACTGGCAGAACCTTCTAAAGTCTGAGGTACTTGGTTTGTTTACTTTCCAACGTCAAACGTAAACGTTTGATCGCGTTACTTAGTTTAATAAGTTTCGAGAGTTAAGGTCAAGAAGATTATATTTTTGGTATGGTATTGGAAGGACGTGCTATAAAAAATATCAAGCCTGGAAAAATCTGATATTCTAGGTGGTTGTCAAGTCTTGTGTATATTTGCATGAATCGCACGCATGTAACTACTGCTTACAACGTGGCAACGTGTTGCCCATGGAACAGCTCTTTCAGTAGGAAGGACTAGGGCTTCTTTCTTTCCCACGAAAATTTAAAAAGAACCTCACAAAGACAAAGTGAAAGGAAAAGGAATGTTTGATTTGAAACTAATGTTATATCTCTAATAAATGCCAAACCATGTAAATACAAAAGAGATGGCGCGAAATTGGGTCGGGCGATCGCTCCGCCGACGCCCCCACCAACCGCAGCGATCTCCCGCCGCGCGGCGCCGTCGGATCACCCCTCTTGGTACCGTGACCGTTGGATTGAGGAATATACGTGGCGGGATGTACGGCGTCTCCCCGCTCCCCGGCGTTCGCTGCGAAGAAGAAGAAGAAGAAGAAGAGGGATTCTTCGTTAGGTTCTATAGAGAAATTTGGAGCGTGTCCGGAAGAACAGTGGAAGAAGTAGAGATCTAGCTCCGGGCAGCTTCTAGGAACCGCAGGAATCGAAAGATGAGAGTCTCGCGTAGGGCTTGGTCGCGGTAGCGGCATCTGGATCGATAGGAGCAGCCATGAATTCTAGGTGTAGAGTGGGGGATCACGACCGGCGGCGCGATAGAGGGCAAGAACGCGAGATTACGGCGAGGAATTGCTTGTAGCAGGCCACGGATTCGAGGCGAGAGATGCGTTACCAGCTGGGAATGGAGCACTCCAAGCTACTCACGCTCGGCAAGCCCTCTCCCGAGAATCCAATGGCGATGCTGCCCGGGGGCGGTGGCACGGGAGGATCGATCAATCAGAACATCCAGGAGGTTCATGTTTGGGACAGGAGGGCCGCCAGAATGTTATAGTATATTCTTTTATATTTTAATTGTTATACCATTAAAACACGGAGTTAGATAACATTGTCAGATTTATATTTAAGCTATGTATTCGGAAATTATTATTCAAAAATAAATCTAATTATCAAAATCTTCAATTGATAATCTTTATTACCAGCTTATTGTATTAATAATAATTTAATTATCTTTTCTAATACAAAGTAAGTGTTGCTGTATGGTGTAGCAAACCTATAGTGCAGAACATAATTATACATTTGCATTTTAAAATATTAAAATTAGAAACATATATTCAAAATATAATATAAAATTGATCATATAAAATAATTTTATGTTAAAAAGGAAAGAAAGTATTACAACATACAGAAAATTATTTCTTATTTACAATTATTTTTATAATCTAGAAATTCTACAATAATTGAATCATCATGTTTATAACATCCCTCGAATGACCAATTATTCCAACCATAATCACCTTTTGTTTTATATATTGCCGAGCCTGGAAAAACAACTAATTGATAAGGCTCTCCATCTATTCTAAAATCAACAATTTCTATTATTGGATTTGGATCTGTTCTAATTTCAAATGATAAAGAAGATTTATATATAAAAACATTGACATCTCTGCCATACTTATTATAATAAATATTTAAATCACAAGTCATGAGTTTTTCCCAAGAACGATTTGAACAATCAATACCATCATTTAAATAAAGATCTAATAAAAATAGAAAACAAAAAAAAGCTAAATACAATTTAAGAAAATACATAGTTAATGGTAAACTATGAGTAGCCTAGTGAATAAATATAGATATAAACACATTGTAAACTCAATCAATAAATAATATGAATAATTCCCTATGTGATATGTGAGGTCCAAGTGTATGACTACAATGTTGTATATTAATATTAGCATAGTGAGATTTTGGTAGCCATTAGATTGATTTTAATCTGGACCATTCGTTCTTGTCTATAAACTAAGGTTTTTGGGCTAATTGATATGCACATTTTCTATATTTTCATTCTATATTACATGCACTCACATTGGTGGAGTTAAGGGGCATCTTTAATTGTTTCTGAGGAGTGTTTGGATTTAGGATTTTAATTTAAATTTAGATTTTGCATTGTTTAAATCTAACTTTCTCCATTTCCTTTTTTTTTGTTCTTTCCTTTTAGGATTTTTGTTTAGATATAGCTTTTGCATTGTCTAAATATCCCTTTCCTTCTAGCATTTTTTCATTTTACTTCTTTTGCTATTTCCTTTTCATTCATTTTCATAGTAGATTAGTAGTCTCAATCTCCTTTGACTTTGGAGTAATAGTTGGTGCAATTGCTTGATGCTATGAGATTGCAATTGAACAACCAAACTCATTTGATAGTGGTATTCGTGGCACGTGGTATAGCTCCTTTTATTCTTGGTGTCTGTCGCGAATGTGACTTCGGGTATCGAAAGTTACCTGTCGACTAGTCCTTTTGAATATTCTTTCCTTACTGCCACGATGGCAGGAGGTCGGTATTGCTGGACCCTTTATCAGCCCCTCTTGTTCAAGTGTTAATAAACTGGACTTTGCACCTGTACTTGAATTCTTAAGTGTTTATTTAGCCAAGCATACTTAGCCTGGCTTTTTAGTTCTCTTTTGCTCTGTCTTGCACTGGTTTGACAAGAACCCTCACGTATTGAGATTGGTCCCTTAATATCACTACATGATAGCTTACCGTGTCTGCCAAACACCCTCGTTATCATGCCCTTTGTATTAGTCTCATTTTGGTCCCAAATGCTATTTATGGAAAGTGTCCAGATTTGCTCATTTGGCATATCTACGGAATGTAGAGATCGGCCTAAACACAATGGTGTTTGTCCCATGTCCAAATTCACAATCTAAGGACATTCCATATTTAGTAAGTTTTGAGCTTGTCCTAGAGACTAACTCCTGATACTAAGGGAGGCTTGGGGTGAAGCCCAAAGCATGTGTTCCTCAAGTTGGGGGGGGGGGTGTTGTGGGGGGTTTTAATTGTATAGTAGGGATAGTGGGTAGATCGGGCATGGCCAACCTGAGGCATAGTTTAGCTCCCACTTGTGTGCCTGTCCTTGTTTTGCGTCCGGATTGGGTCTAAGCCCAAGTTCCATTCCATGCTACGTTAGGCCACCGGTATGCCGAAATAGCGCCAGACTCCGTTTGGCTCCATTTTGCGTGCTGGTCCTAGCATTAGGATGCTGGTTACTCCAAGACTTTTCCAAGTCGCTCCGGGCTCCTGTCCCTTCGCTCCTTGGGCTATATGCTTGGGAGTTGCTCTGTGGTTCGGTTCCATCACTCCTTGGCTCCATGCTTAGGAGTTTGGCACCATTCCTTTGTTCAGTGGCCCAAAGCCCTGAACCTCGGGTTCTGCACCACTGTCCTTTGGACACATGGCATATGACACATGGCATGTGTCACGTGGCATAAAGAGGGTTTAGGTTCCGCTTCGTGGTGTTATCCTATGGTAAATCACTATAGGATAAAGGATCAAAACCATGTGCGCTACATTTGGTATCAGAGGATGAGTCTCAGCGAATACTATCCAATGAAATTGGGCAACTAGTCTCATTGCATACGCAGAGATGAAAACAATGATCCAATTGGGTACACGTTTGGTGCAAAGGCTTCGCAATTAGTTCCTTGGGTATGGATATTGTTACCTTGTTGTACCTTATGATGTGAGCTTGCGCTTGGGCTCTTAGGATGGTTTGGAGATGTTTCCTTTGCACGAGTTTGAGCTTGGGCTCATAAGTGAGGCACATTAGCAACTTGAGGTTACACTTTGAGTTGGCAGGATTAATATTAGCCTATCGGTGGTTCTATAAGTTGTTCCATGTACCATGGGTGAAAGTAAACTTTCTCTAAGTTTGTTATGAGTGGCAAATAGGCTGGTCCATAGCTGTTTAGCATGGCACTAGTAGATCCTTCCTAGGCATGATTACAAATGGATCAATAAAGACTATAGGGATTAGTCTATTGGTTTAAGTAGTTATTGCCGTGCTCTCTCATAAACTTTTCTTGGATTGGACTGAAGGCAGTGCAAAAGCAAGCTTGAGGTTTAGTCAAAGATGAGACCGAAAAGAGAGTCGTCAAGGACGAAAGATCAAACACGTAAATCATTTTCTCTTCTTGGAGAGATGATTTGCAACGAGGTGTGACTCATTGCTCGTGTTTACGGTATGCAATCAAGAGTTCCTATCTTGATGTATATTGGAAGTGATGGTCTTACAAGTGGTGAGTCGTGGGATGGATAGTAGTGAAGCGCAATACCATTTTGTTGAGGCTTGTTATTGTAAAACTTGGGTTGCAATGCTCAATTCTTTTCCGGGGAACCTTGTTATTGCTCCTTGAGTAGTTTGGTGTTGGATTAGTGTTGAGTTTGGTCGGAAAGAGAGTGGCATGAGCTTGTCCATGTTGTGAACAAAAGTTAGTAGTGTTAGGTGTTGTAAATCTCTATTGATGGGGTGTGGCATTTATGTTGCATTTTGTTGAATCGAGTTGGCACTTGATATTCACATAAACCTTTGCAGTAGTGACATGGGCATTGCTCATAATGTTGCTTGATTGATGATCAAGTCATTGTTATTTATATCATATCCATGTGATAATGAGCAATGTGTTTACGAAGTTGCTTGGTTAAACGATGATCAACCCCAAAGTGGTTGATGGTGAAGTTAGTCTACTTGCACGAAGTAGCATTGTAGTAGCTTTGACTGGATTCTCGATGGTGGTCCATTATGCTAAACTTAAGTAGGTACCTTGTTTCCTAGAGTTCTCCCATTAAGGTGTTGGAAAAGGGTTATAACATTCATTTCCAATAACTTGTCGGTTGATCTGTTAACACTTGGAGTAAATTGTTGGATGGAGAAGGTGTGTAGTTAAGGCATTAACATCACTAACACTAGTGATAGTGGAAGTAGCATTGTTACTTCAAGTAATGAGGAATTTTCCTTGGACCTTGATTTTTCGTGCCATTTTTCTTATTAGTGTTTTGACTTCACATTGAATCCTGAAAGTGATTGAAGAAGAGTGT